TGTTCCCTTCTCGGGCATGTTCGACTACCCGCCGGCGCTGCGGTGGAACGCGAGCCACGACGCCTACGATCTGACGTGCGGGTTGAACTTTGAGAACCACAGGTGCGGCCAGACTTTAGCGCATCTGAATAGTCGGCGGAGCGGTGAGGAGCTCATGGCGAAGCTCCACCCCGAGTCGTCGACGCTGCGCCTGCGGTTCCCGCAGTGCACCGTCTTCCGCGTCGTCTCGAATATGTACTTCGGCGCTTTGTACCGGCCAAACGCGACACGGCCGTCCTTCGGCGACGTCGTTTCGCATGTCGCGCGGCCGTCCGCGGCCGTCGCGGCGCGCGTGCGCGCGGCGACCACGGGCTGGGAGCCGGCGAACCACGCCGTGGCCGTGCACCTGCGGTCCTTCTTCAAGCCCGACCTCGACGCCGTCGCCGTCTGCCTCTGCCACGTCGTCGGCAAAACGAAATACGAGGCGACGCGGAATCAAAGCGACCCGCCTCCCGTGGTGAAGCAGGCCTGGCTCATCTCCGACAGTGCGCGGCTCCAGCGCGACCTTCGGGACCTGCTCACGGCGCGCTGCGGCCTCGACGCGAAGCTCTCGGCGAACGCCTACAACCTCGCGGCCGGCGAGGACTCGCGCGCGCACCGGAAGGCGCCGGACATCGTCGACGCGGCCTTCGACCACGCGCTCGCGCGGACGGCGCGCGTCTTCCTGGGAACGCCGGGTTCGAGCTTCTCGGACACGGCCGTGGGCCTCCACCCCAACGCGTCCAGGCTGATCCTACCCGACTGCGCGCTCATCCCCGCGCGGGACCACGCGCCACCGAACCACAAGTGGTGCCGCCAGGTAATCTGACCGCATGTTGGCATTGTTGCACTTCATGCTGGCCGACCTAATTATAACTACAACTTGAGGGGCGTACATCCAGATCTAGATCTTAAGATGCTCGGCCTTCGCGCGTTCTGGCGGGCAGGGTGGCGCGCGGGTCGAATTCGCGTCCTCTAGTAGTTGGCGTCCCGGCCGTGGTGGGGAGGGCCACGGTTCCAGCCGCCGTGATGCGGAGGGTAGCCTTGGTAGCCTCCGCCCTCGCCCCAGCCGCCGCCGTGCTGGGGCGGAGGGCCTTCGTGCCAGCCGCCGTTGCCCCAGCCGCCGCCGTGATAGGGCGGAGGGCCCTCGTACCAGCCGCCGCCGCCCTCGCCCCAGCCGCCGCCGTATTGAGGAGGCGGAGGGCCCTCGTGCCAGCCCGCGCCGCCCTTGCCCCAGCCGCCTTGAGGCGGGGCGCCTTCGCGCATGCCGCCCTTGCCGCCCCAGTGAGGAGGAGGAGGCCCGTGCTCGCCTTTGCCCTTGCCGAAGCCGCCGCCGCGGCCGGAGCCGCCGCGGCCGCGGCCGAAGCCCTTGCCGCCCTTGTCGCCGCCGCCGAGGCCCATGCGGTGGAGCGCGTGCGGGGGGAAGTTGCTCGCCTCGGGGAGCGAGCGATAGCCGCCGAGGAGATACGGATACACGGGCGCGACGTCCTCGCCGACGAGCTCGACGGTCGCGAAGTAGCGG